ACACACACACACACACACACACACACACACACACACACACACACACACACATTATTTCATAATGCAGTAGTTATTACGAAATGCACTTTTTTTTTTACGGAAATGTAATAATATGGTTCATTATGTAATAACCAACTTCAGACCCACATCGATGACAAAAAATGTGTTCTGTTTTAGTGGTATATCCTGCTTCATTTCCTGACCAGAAAGCATGTACTCCCTAAAATAATTAGAAGCAGAACCTTGCTAAAAAACTGGTCTGATGTTCATTTCAAACTGTGGTATTTATTTTGTATTTGGTTAGGAGCACAGGCAATTGTGTAGCATCAGAATATTCCTAGACAACGTGACTGTGCAGCCACATGCAGTGTACTAAGAAATCTTATACCCTTTTTATGGATAAGGTAGTAAAAAAATACATTACAGAAAAGATATGTGTTTTTCAGCCAGAGTGAGTACCTGGGAGTCTGCATTGAGCACTTTGATTCTCTGAGTAGAAATGAAGAGATCCACCTCTGTCATGGGCTGAGGCGCATCCTGAGGGACCTGCAGGCATACACACAGATAAATTCACAAAACAATATTATACAGATACTCAAAACACAAGGAAGACATAATAAGGCCATGATGTTAGTGAGCTTATATTCCTGAATAAACAAATGTTCAAAATTAGAGGTCAGTAACTTTCTCATTACAACCAGCACAACCATGGCAAGAAAACATCTGGAAAGATCAGCAGCTGGGAATTGAAATAAACTTTAAGATCTGATAACCAAAAGCCCAAAAGTTGTGCTGTGGAACAACTGATCCAAGGTTCTGCTTTGTGTTATGGTTGTTAATTGTTAACACTGTCTGCAGTACAGTCGCTGTTCTGCAGCGGAGCTGTTACTGCCAGGGCAATGTTTTCTTACATAGGGTTTACCTTGAAAGCGGCCACAAATGTGTGAGCTTGTGATGGACAGAAAGGGAGATGAAAAGCGCGAGAGAGAGAGCAAGCTAAACTACTTCCCACCACCTGGACTTTTTTACAATAACTTTTAATATAACTACAGTCTTTCTGAGGTTTCTGGTAAGACTATTGTATTTCCTTGTATATAAGTAGTCCAAATAAATGGATTCAGTCAACAGAACGGCTGGAGTGCTTTTATTTTTAAACAGATAGGCTACAGGGAGTGTAGCAAATATTGTTTGTGATATTTTGTCAGGTTAACATTGAAACTGTAGGGAAAGAAGAGCAGCGCAGCTTCTGCACCTAGACATCTGGATTAAAGCTGCAGAAATAACTATAACAACTCCTATTACAGCTAATACCAGTGGATTTTCATTCAGCTCTTACATTTCAATTGCTATTTGATGAGTCATCTCAAATTAATGTCTCATTTTTTAGATTTGTTTTGAGAGAGAGAGAGAGGCAGCGAGAGAGAGAGCGAGAGCTCAGTGCATGATGAGAGTTCCTCCAGAAGTCTATAGGTCTATAGCATTATATCTAAGAGATGACTCAGGGTTCACCTATGCCATCGCCAACTACAAACTCTATTCACTACTTGCACAATGTAGTGTGACATACTTCCACTTTCCACACTGCCCAGTTAACTTCCAGTCGACGCTAAATTGTTACTCTCGCATCCAACTTGATCTCCACACAGGGTTTTCTTTGCAGAGATGGTTTCTGCCTCCTGCATCCAAACTAGGAGCTCTTTCCACAGAATAGGAGCTTGGTAGCTACAGGCTTAACAACCATTTTATTCTCACAGACTCTAAGAAGGGAGCATGTATTTACAGAGCAAAGTGATCTGCTGGGATAATAGGGTCCTATGATATGGCTTGATTATTGACAGCTTTACATATTAGGAGCAGGATTT